TGGCGTCCATTAAAAGTCCTGAACATCCCTCTGAAAGTTAAAGTAAAACAAACAGAGATTCGCAATTTTTAAATTCTGATGTTGGATTACTTGAAACGATCGAATCGAATCAGTTTAATTTTTCAATCTCTCGCCGATACAAAATTAGAAAGTAACGTGAATTAAGAAATCCTTGAACGTTGCAAAATACTGCACATTTGTTTCATAAAATGAAAATAGTACATAAAAGTGGCAACGAACGACGTTTCCGAGATTAAAAGTCCTGAAGGTCCTTCTGAAAGGTAAAGTGGCAAGTACACGCTGACGATACACGTTTTTCGAGCGGCCGTTGAAGCATTCTCGTTGAAATGTACGAGCAACATGTTGTCGCGAGAAGTTGACCAAAAAACAGGGAACACGCTCAGAACACGCGGGATGAGATCTCTCTTTTTTTTTTCTTCTCTTGTTTTTATCGGCCTCCGATTTACACGCTCCGTTTAGCGTGATTATACAGGGCGTAGAGTGGCGAGATATATGAAAATTCAACGATCATTATGCCTTGTATTTGGATTTTTACAACGTGTATAAGCCCCCGTCCCACCGTTGTCAAAACGTTCTCATGACCGTGGCTTGAATAATTGTCGCGGTGCCTTTCGCATCTGCATACATGTACGCGCGCGTTGTTGTTCGAAAGCGCTTATTAAAATGCACAATGTGAATCGTGCGCCGCTTTCAAATAATATCTCGCGTTTAAAAAGCCTCGTGTAATGCGGCTTACGCGGGAAAAAAAGAGTAAAAAAAAAAAAGAAAAAAACGAAACGAGTAAGTTAAATAGGTAAAATAAAAAGTAAAATGTAAAATGTAAAATGAAATACCAGTCACGCTGGAATTTTCTTTTTTTTTTTTCTTTTCAGACGAATTTGAAACACTTCAACTATTCCCGTGAAAGGAAGAACTCGATCTTTATTAAAGCGGACGGAGTCGAAGAGGTAAGTGCCTGTTCGTCTATTTTACGTGAAAAACTAGTCGTTAAAGTATATTTTCTATTTTTGCTTCGTTTGAGAAACGAAGCGACGATATTACTCCGCGAAAACTAAACGCCTCGTTAAGCCTCTTTACGCGAAGTAGCGGCGAAACGGGATTTTTCAATTTTTCTCTCCCATTGTCTCTCTCTCTGTCTCCGTTATACTTCGCGCGCGTGGAAATTCAATTCGCGGCCCATTGGTATACACAACGTGAAACCGGGGGAAATTTCTCGGCGCGCGGCAAGGTGAAATTTAATCCGTCTCCGATAACCGAAACGCAGAACACACTCCAACCACCCTGTGCTCCTCTCGTACTCCGCGCGTTGCCACGCTTAAATCATAGTTGGCTAACCGTACCAATGAAACTCAATTGATTCATTGTTCGATGCTGCGGAACAAAAGGACGAACAGAACAGAAGAAAACAGAAAAAGAAGAAAAAGAATGGAAGGAAAGGGAACGTGCTCTCGAGTAATAGACACGGCGAAAGAGAGGGAGAGAGAGAGAGAGAGAGAAAGAGAGAGAAGCAGCCAGTGTCCCTGACGGATTTTTATGCAACGACGATCCCACGTCAGATGCCCTGAGGACGGCCAAGTGTTTCCACCCACATGCAGATCGATCTCTCGAGCCACTTCGTGCAGCCTCGCCGCTAACAATGTAACTTCGAAACGAAGGGGATCATTAAAAGCAGTTTCAGCCGAGTTTTCAGCCAGCGAGAAAGAAACTCTCTCTGATATACAACTTAAAACACGTTGGTAAATAAATAATTGCCCTTGTGTTTCTTTTGAAAATGTTTTCTTACATCTCTTTCTCTCTTTCTCTCCTATCTCTCTCTCTGGAGAGATATTTCTTAATTGCGAAACTTTTCTTTAAGACGCAAGACCGAGGGGATTCTGTTTTTAAGAAAGAAAATTCCGTTCGAACTTGCGTAGAAAAAGTACTTGCTTTTGTGGGATTTTTTGTTGAAAGTGTTATACTTAAAAAACACTTTTGAATTGTATCCTCGTTACAGATATTTTAGAATCTGTGTAAGCTCAAGTTATTTTAGAATATTTAATTAAGAAATCCATTTTTAATATTCGAGCACTGTTCATTGGGAACAGTTTGCTTCAGTATTTTCCGCAAATTTAATTTTGATGAACAAATTATCCTATTTCCTCTGACGGGAAAAAGTTTTTACTTCAGTTCCATTCTGTCTGATTGGTGAGACTTTGGTCTTTAAGAACGTTCGTTTATTTGTTCTCTTAATTGGACGCTCGTAAATGCATTTTTCGAAAATGTTCTAAATCTCTGCTTAAAACACGATTGACAAAAGATACTTTCTCTACGTGTCTCGAATAAATGACGAATGATGCTGAATGATCTACAAATTTCGAAAGTTTAATAAAAAGAAAAAGAAAAAGAGGGAGAACTCAAAAGAAACTTTGACAAATGATATCTCGAATAAATGATGAATACTTAATAATCTACAGATCTCGGAAATTTAATAAAAAAAAAAAAAAAACAGAAAAAAGAGACAGAGAAGTCGCGAGAAGTTTAGCAAAGTTCAAAGACGTTTTAACGGAAGGAAAGAAATCTGTACGCGGGCGAAGTAAGAAAAGACGGTGAAATGGTGGGCCAGTCGGTGTTTCGAGAAACACTCGGGTAAATAGCGCGACCCTTGGGCGATCGTACATCACGAACGCGGCAAGGGGAAGTTGAGGCCTGGCCATGCATTACTCCGCGGCGCGCCACGACGCGAGAGGGCGAGAAGAATAGGGTGCCGGTCCATTAACATATTCATACTTAATATTCCAGTCGGTACGTCGCGCGACACAACGTCCGTCGTGTCGGATTTATATTGCCCTAATATACGCGATTACTTTCTCCCTTCTGCCCGCCGTGATTCAAGATCGGCCGGAAGTCACGATTGATGGCAACGTCCACCGAGAGTCTCCGTGCATCCTCCTTCGTTCGTCGATACGTATCCTCGAGGTAGAGAAGCTTGCTCGTGAGAACGATTGCTCGGGAGTTGCTCACAGTTACTTGCAATTAACTAAATTAATTATTCACTGTTGAATAATTTAAAATTTGCTGAGATTTTTGTGTGTAAAGTACATTTTTGTGAAAACGAATGACACGTTAACAAAAGTCTGTTTTCACGCGTTGGTGTAGAGAAGTAACATCCAATATATGAGTTGTATAATATAAATGGTATAAAGATTGGAAAATCAAAAAGGGATTTTTTTCTGTAGTTCTACTGTGCATTCGAGAATACAGATTGTAAAATATTTTTAATGGTTCAAAGACAAGCGTCTTTTACCGCGATGTCATTAATAATGTTTCTCAGTATTTTCGAAGAGGGATATTTTGTAATTCTTTTAATAACATTAAATGAATTTTTATATTTTGTTATACGATTATATTGTATTTTTATTGTATTTTATATTATATTGTATTATATTTAATTATATTGTATTAATTTATGTTAATTATGTTGTATTATTATTGTGTAACTTCATTATATAACTTTATCATTGGAAATTGTTACCATGAACATTTTACTTTTGTAGCAATGTGGTATAGTCTAGTATGTAGTAAACCATTTATGGAAACAAATTTTTTTAATACATTACTTATTTTCACTGCACACACGAAAACACTATCTTTGTTGACATGTTCGATTTACATTAGAAATTTGATTAGGTTGCAAACTGTGATTACCCTTGTGATTACCCTATAATTTATGTGGATTTTTATATAATATGTAATTGGAAAAATTTCTATGTAATATTAAACACAGTTTTTCGCGAGATTAGTAGAATGCAACACAAACTGTAGTAATGCATAAAAAAGTATCAGTATTACTACAGTTTCTTTATTATTTTATTTATTTATTTATTAGATATGGTTTGCATCTTTCTTTTTATTATATACATGCGTCACATTAAGTTGTACTACTTATTAAATTGCATTGACTTAAACTACGTTATACTATTTTTCTATAAATCTATAAATCTATAATTAATTATTCCCTTTCTCCGTGTATCTACACCATAACGCTGTCTCTTTGGCTTTTGTACAACCTCTCTGTTATATATACATCACATTAAGTTGTACTACTTACTAAATTGCATTGACTTAAACTACATTATACTATTTTTCTATAAATCTATAAATCTAATTAATTAGTCCCTTTCTCTGTGTATCTACACCATAACGCTGTCTCTTTGGCTTTTGTACAACCTCTCTGTTATATATACATCACATTAAGTTGTACTACTTACTAAATTGCATTGACTTAAACCACGTTATACTATTTCTCTATAAATCTATAAATCTAATTAATTAGTCCCTTTCTCTGTGTATCTACACCATAACGCTGTCTCTTTGACTTTTGTACAACCTCTCTGTTATATATTTTACAATTATTATTATTATCATTGTTTTTAAACATCCGCCGCCCGACGATGAGAATTAAGAACAATTAACATCCGTAATCCGCTAAGAGTTACAACGTCGCGAAATATTGGGGCGAGAGGGGCGAATGTCGCTTCCGGCGAACGATATAT